TCCTTGGAATTCCCCCTGGTGTTACCAGGCCCTGGCCTGCGGTGGATCTGTTGTGTGACAGCTCTGTGAAGCCTTGCTCTGGTATGAGGGCGATGGTCCTACTAGGGCGGGGAGTTTGTCTTGGCTGATTCTGGAGATATGACGATCCAACGGTCTTTTACGTTTCCGTCTGTTCTACCGACATGGCACCTTGGACACATGGTCAAAGCAATACGCGATATGAAGCAACGAATGAACGATGTGGATGTCGTGATCGAGACTAGAGATGCGCGATTACCCTTGACGAGTATCAATCCAGTATTCGAGGAAATTCTCAAAGGCCCATCTGTCAAAAATCGAGCACCTTCGGCATCATCAAGCTCGCCGATCCGATTGATCGTGTATAACAAGAAGGATTTGGCCGACCCTCGCTTGGAAAAGGTATGCTGCAAATGCTTTCCCTCAGAAAATCGAGTCTCGAGGTTTTTGCTGATTGGGATTTCTTCCGATGAGGGATAGCATAGCCGCTAAAGGACGCATTCAAAAAGCATGGTCAGACAGTATTTTTCACTAATGCAAGAATCGATGAAGACGTCAGACAGATACTTCGGCTGTCCAAGGGTTAGCAGTTCCTTACCAATGTTATGATCTATCGGCTGAAATCTATTCGACTGTATAGAGCTTGCTTGCCCCAGAATCCTGTCGCGTTATGGAAAAGCTGCACCGTCCTCCGATACGATATCGACGAATCTTGTTCAGTCGCAGTCTCGAAAAAAGTCGAGTCTGTCATCTTTGGATCCAAATAGAGGAATTCGAATTATGTTTTGTGGGATGCCGAACGTTGGCAAATCTAGTTTACTGAATGCTTTAAGAAGAGTAGGATGCCAAAAAGGTCGGCCTAATTTCTTTTCTCTCGATGCCTTTTACTCCATCGTTCAGGTCAGCTTACACAGTTCATAACGTCTACCCATGGTCAGGCAAAACGGCATCTGAGGCACCTATGCCCGGTCACACTCGTTCCATCGGTGGAATGGTCAGGGTTTCTGAAGGTTCTAAACAAACCGCTGGTTGGCCGGTGTATGCATTTGATACTCCTGGGATTATGGTTCCATATTTGGGTCAGGGAGAAGAGGCTGGCGATAGAGCATTCAAGATGGCTATCACAGGTGAATGATCCCGTTTGCTCTCAACGATAGTGCAACCAACTTACTGTTACTATAATCCAGCCGGCATCAAGGAGACTCTCTTCGACCCGTACGACCTGGCAGCTTACTTCTTCCACCTTCTTCTCCTGCGACATTCTTCGCCTTTTGACCCCATCTCAAGGATCTCCGAAGTTTTGAAGCTACCTCCGACTTTTGCTTCGTCGATCAAGGATCATCTCGATGCTTCTCAACCTCTACCCACGGAGCAGCTGCTCTCAGCAATTGCAGATCGCATCAAAGCTGTCGAAGTCGGCGGGGTTCCGAACTTGGAAGCAGCAGCTCAGTGGATGCTCAAATGTTTTCGGGACGGACGATTTGGAGGTTGGACGCTGGATGATGTTGGTCAGGAATCTATTGGCGCGAATGTTTGCAACAGTTCGGAAACATCAATCATCAGGTTGATTGAATCAAGTAGCAAAACAGATCAATCAATTCAACCGATAGACGATCGTGCACTGACAGAGAATTCGACGCATATCGAAGGTTGCATTTCAAGCTACTTCGCCTCTGATCGTACATCTCCAAAGAGTAAAACGGCGGTTAAAATGGAAGCCAGGAGAGCCAAAAAGGACGTTCAGCGTGCACAACAAGAACTCAAACCCATCAAACATCGGCCTCCTCAATCCTCTCGCAGATGAATAATACTCGCAGATAAACAAACCTTGAATTTGTAGCCACTTAAGTGTCTTCCTGGATTTTCAAAAGCGTGTAATTTGTCTCATTCCCAAGTAAATAATGCAGCATTTTGGAACTCATAGATGACCCCCAAGTTACTCTTGATGTAAAACATTGCGGTATAACTGAGAGTCTGAGCCTTTCGATGGCATTACTAGGCTCTCCAAAGTGAAGGAGTTGTGTTAAGGTGGAGGAGGAGGAGGGCTATCAGGCGAAGGGGCAGAACTCAGGAGGGCCTGAGAGGTATGGAGCTTCATGCCAAATGCTTCAAAGCTCCAAGGCCCTGATGACGTGGTGGATAATAGGTAAGGAAGATGGAATGAGATGTTACAACAGGTGAATCCCCGTTGGTTCAGATTCTGATACTTCTAAGGGCCTTTTCTCCCTTAGTTGTCTGGTGTGAGGCTAGAGGCTTTAATGAGCCTTCAAGTTGAGCTTCTCACATGCGGCAATCTTTGGGACTGCATTACATTTGACCTTGTCACAAGTGAGTCTCTTTTACAGTCAATACATGGATCCTTCTTGGGGACCAGATGCGGCAATCTTTGGGACTGCACTACATTTGACCTTGTCACAAGTGAGTCTCTTTTACAGTCAATACATGGATCCTTCTTGGGGACCAAAGCTCAATACACTCATGGATGAAGCGGTTTGCCATTTGCAAAGCAAGCCAACTCGGATAGAATGAGAAAGTGAAGACTAGGGCTTCCAAAAATATCTAGAAGTGCTTGAGAAAACAAGGAAAGCCCTGGAAATAGATCAAATAACGCCCCAGAAGCAGGCCATCACAGCCTGGGGATAAAATTAAACTAATTTGGAATGGGGGGCGGCTACAAAAAAAAGAGACAACAAGATGGGCTCTGAGCTCTATGCGATTCTCGCTACCCAAGATAGGGAGTAAGCCCTCAATGACATGAAGAGCTTGGGTGCCTGCAACCCCTCTCACACATGGAGAATTAGTTAAGTGGTCAACTAATTCGCCTCTCAAAAGTTCTTCCTTCAGACAAGGCTGACAAGAGTCGACAAAATGGAAACAAATCCACAATCCGAAATCAAACTTCAAAGCATAAGAAAATCAAGTCTTTGCATCCCTTTTATACCCGTACATATTGTGATAGAAAGCTTTCAAATGAAATCGTGCAATCCGATACTGTAATTTTTGTAAAGCGACATCACCTTCGCCACGAATGCTGTAAGAAGGTCCCAGCAAGAGAAAGACGAAACCGAGAGGCAAGCCAAAAGATATAGAGGCTCAGAACAGCATCTACAGTATGCATGACAATCGGAAATAATTGAGAGGAACGGAAAAACAAACCTTCAAGGTGGAAGATGGGTTTATTGCCTAATCTGAGTCGGTGCTCGTACCAAGCGGCCCAATGAATAATTTCGGGCCTGAGAGCGTCATCTACTCGAGTCAGTAAACCCTTGGCGAGCTGGACGATGACGACTGAAGGGGGAATGAGGTGAACGAGAAGCTCATAGAGCATTGCCCGGGCTTCTAGCAGTTTATCCGGTGATTGCTCCTTCGCGATGACGCCGGCCAGTTTATCAATGTAAACTTCCCAATCAGGTCGGGGGATGCTATCCGGCGATGTGCGACTCTGAGATCCATTTCGAGTAATAGTCAGTACTTTCTTGTATAGAGGGACAACAAATTGCTGGCGGTACCTTAGAAAACGTCTCATCTTGAGCACGAACAGCATCCAATGTAAGAAGTGCCCTCCTCAGGTTACCATTAGAAGATAAGGCAATGGCCATTGCAGTCTCATCCGGCAGGCTAGTCGAAAACGAAGCTTTATTAGACACATTGTTCAACACCTGAGCAATCTGCACAGTCAAAAGTCGCAGAACGATCGAAGCGTCAAACACAGTCTCAAAATTACAACAAACAAGGGCAAACGATCAAAGAATGGGAAGAAGTGGTTTGATGATATCTTACTTGCTCTGGATTGGGCGCTCCGACTCGTAGTAATAGACAACGACTTCGAATCGGACCAATTATTTTAGCCGTGGAAGTTGCGCAGAGGATCAGGCGCATGGTCGAGGTGTGTCGCTCCATTGTCCGCCGCAGAGCAGCCTGTGCGTCGTTTGTTAGTTCATCGGCCCCATGGATGACGACCACTTTAAATCGCTGAGTTGCCCCACTATCGAGTTGGGCGCTTTGTCCGACCTCCTTCAAAACGTCCTGGACGACGCTCCGGTCCCATTGCCCGACATCTGATGGTGTCAGTTCAAGATGGTAGTTCGACTGTACCACTTGGACGTCTAATCGACGCCGTGATGGGGTCACAAACACTTTTTGATCTATCCTTAATTTCTGCGCCCCAGGTCCAAAAAGCTCCTACTCAATCAAGATTGGCAAACAATAATCAAATGAAAATATTTTTTTACCATCAGCTTACCAGTCGACTAGAAGCATAAATCTCCCAAAGGGATGTACATACAGTTAGTGTAGCAGCAATCCTAGTCTTTTTCCCAGCCCCACTTGGCCCGTAAAACAGACAATGAGGGAAGTCCGCCGTCCGGGCCAGCGCACGAATCCGATCGGATAGTCCTTGATGATAATCCAACTCCTCGAGCTTCTTTGGCCGGTACTTGTCCACTAAGAGCGACCTGAATGACCCGCGTTTACCAAGAAATCGGGATTGGATGGATCAGTTTGAGTCTGTCTAATCTTGGAAATGGACTGGAAAGATAAGTTGCTTGCGACTCACATCGATGGTTATGGTTAGTAGAAATAGTTTGATGGGCAACCCTTGGAGTCTGGCACAAGAAAAGGTCGAAGGAATGGTGATCTGGCTGGTGACGCGCACTCGGCACGTGAGTCACGCGAGCTGAATCCGAGTGCACTGTACCAGCCGGAGCGGTCCGGGGCACCTCAGGTTTTATCCGACCCCCAGCGTGCCCATGCGGGGCCCCGTGAGTTCGTCAGATTTAAGGATGGTAATTGGGTGGGCTCGGGCCAGCCCGACTGGTGCCCACAGTGTAGTAGGGCAGTTCACGTTCCAGCCAAACCTCTGCTGATGCAGCTTAAGGTTTGCTTGCTGATGCACAAACCTGATGAACTTTAAATGTGGGATTTTGAATCCACAGGGGGACCTTGCACTAAACTATCTTGGTTTCCCATAAACCTTAAAACTACCATTCCAGCAAAGTTCGACTGCTGATTTCGAAATCAGAAGTACGTGAACCCCCTTAGTGGGTGGGCCAAGTCAGGTCTGATTCAGGAAATATGCAGCCCGGCCCACAAGCTTAACTAGGCCTCCACGGGAGCGGTAGTGAGCAGCGGAGCTGTCCACGCCAGTGGAGTCAAGACTTATTGGTTACAATTACAGTTGCACCCAGGCTTGGAGGCAGTGCAAGCCATACTGCTCTATACTTTAAACTATACACAACACTCCAATTTTGTGACTGAAACTGGAGTATATGTATGTATTTTGTTATGTGTAATGCATAATTGTCACAGTGCCCATGATCTAAGGGTACTTGTTAATTATTCATGGGTAATTTAAAATGTGAAGCAACTGGTACCCAAGTATGAACAAACAATCTCTACAACAAGCTGTGTACAACCTTATAGTAAAGATCATTATGCATAAAAATGAAAGTTTGCTTTTGAATATTGTGTTGGACAGGTTTTTTTAATGTTTCTTTGATTAATTTTTACAGGCTTAATTTTCACTATTATTAGAAATTTTAAATCTATTTCCTACACTTTGAGAGGTGTAAATTTTATGGTATCATTCATTTTGCCTAAAAATTAAAGCTTCAATCTTAATACATGAGCTTACCCCATTTCTTGCTTAATTTGTACTGTATACAAATTTTATTTGTATGTAAGATGGATATAACCATCAATCTTGAAACCCCTCAAAATGTAGGAAATAAATTTAAAATTTCAAAAAGTAATGAAAACTAAGCCTGTAAAAATTAATTGAAAAAGTGAGGCATTTTTGCTAGTGGGGAAGTCCTGTGAGGGATTTATGATGGTTTGACTTCTCTTTTGATGGGTTCTTGCTGCTTGGAAATTTCTATTGAGCCATTTTTGCAGGTGTGCCATGTGATCTGCACTGCCCCATACAGAAAATCACATGTATTGAGGAATCTTCTTTCTGTGTTGAGGCATTTTTTCTGGTGTGTTGTGTAAATATGTGTGTCCCAAAGCATGTGACTGGTGATTTTGTGTGACAATATGTGTGATCCAAAGCATGTGGCTGAACATGTGATCATAACTCTGCCTACATATCTAATAATTTAAATATTTACTTGTGTCTAAATCTATACTATGTACTTCAATAACAAAACTATAATCTATGTTCTATGAAAACAGTTTCATCTACAGATTTTTTGTTGGTACCCGGCACTGCTTGGTGGGTACTGCCATCACCCACCACGCACCCACCAGGAGGTGTTGGGTGTCTGTTTTTGGGCCAAAAAACAAGCAGTACCCAGGTACCATTATGGGTACCACCCCAATTCCCTGACATAGGGTGGAGGGGGGGCTGCTGCATATTTTACAATATATATGAAAAAAATGAAAAAAGTGACTACACTTTGAACAGTACATATCCAGTACTTATGGAGGTACTGAACCGCCACTTTGGCCAAAAAAAAATAAAAATGAAAAAATATAGGGGCTTGGAAAACAACTCCCAAATTTTAGTTGACGACTCCCGTTTCGGTCGGGAGGTCGTCGGACGGGAGTCGTTCTTCCAATTCCCAAAAAAACATAGGAAGTCGTCACACTAATTTTACCTGGAGAATTTTTATTTTTTTATTAAAAAAATAAAGAGTCGTCCGCCTAAAGTGCGGGAGTCGGCGCACCAATTCCGCCTAATGTTTTGCCCTTTTTTATATTTAAATTGACGGGAGTCGTCCACCTAATACGAGGGAGTTGTCGCACCAATTCCGCCAAATGTTTTGCCTTTTTTTTTCTATATTAAAAAAAGACGGGAGTCGTCCAACTAGAAATGGGAGTCGTCGCCATATGGCACTCTCAGAGACTACAAAAAAAGGTTGAGCCACTGAGGCCCCTCCGGCTGGTGCCCGTCGGCAGTGACCATCAGCGGTGACTTTCGGCAGCTCTGGCCCGTTGGCGGTGACCTTTGGCAGCTGTGGCCTGTCGGAGGTGTCCTTGGCTGTGGCCCGTCGGCGGGGTCCTTCGACAACTCGGCGGCAGCCTCGGCGGCGTCAATTGAGGGCTGGAGCCCGTCGGCGGTGTCTTTTGGTGGCGCGAGCGCTTTGGTGGGGTGAGCGGGGATGGTGGGGTTGGACATGGTTTGGTTGGTTGGGTGGGTGGGGAGTCGGTGGGGGGAGTGGATATGGGAGGAGGGGAGGATATGGGTGTGGAGCGGCGACTCCTGCGTGGGAGAAGAAAGTTTCTTCTCCCCAGACGACTCCTAGGGATTTGTCGACGACTCCTTTGAGACGAAAAAAGCCCAGTTGACAGTTTGGACGATTGGGCCATCAACTCCCTTTCCGTCTGGGGAAATTAGCCTGACAACTCCCAAGGGAAAAAAAAAGAATCAAGAAAATTAAGGATCAAATTTGGGGCGCCGACTCCCGCCTTTTAGGCGGACGACTCCCGAATTTTCAATTAAAAAGAAAATAAAAAATTGCCTGTGGAATTAGGCCGACGACTCCCGGGCATTGGAAGAACAACTCCCGTCCGACGACCTCCCGACCGAAACGGGAGTCGTCGACTAAAATTTGGGAGTCGTTTCTCCAAGCCCCAAAATATATACATAAATATATATATATATGAAAAAAAAAACTAATTCATCAGCCTCCGATGACCGGTTTTGACCGGTCTTCAATGGAAGACACACTCTCATCAAGGACTGGTATTGACCAGTCCTTGATGGGAGGAAACACCCCCATTGATGACCGGTCAAAACCGGTCATCGATGGGAGTCAACCCCCCCAAACACCCCCATCGATGACCTTTGACCGGTCATTGATGGGATTAAACACCCCCATTGATGACCGGTCAAAACCAGTCATTGATGGGAGAAACACCCCCATCAAGGACCGGTTTTAACCGGTCCTTGATGGAGGCAAACACCCCCATTGATGACCGGTCAAAACCGTTCATCGATGGGAGTCACCCCCCCCCCAAACACCCCCATCGATGACCTTTGACCGGTCATTGATGGGATTAAACACCCCCATTGATGACCGGTCAAAACCAGTCATTGATGGGAGAAACACCCCCATCAAGGACCGGTTTTAACCGGTCCTTGATGGAGGCAAACACCCCCATTGATGACCGGTCAAAACCGTTCATCGATGGGAGTCAACCCCCCCCCCCAAACACCCCCATGGATGACCGGTCAAAACCAGTCATTGATGGGTAAACACCCCATGGATGACCGG